TGGTGCCGGCTCGCTGCCGAGGCCCCGGGCCGCCTGGTGGTCTACCGCGCCGCGGGGCACGCACAGCGCGGCGGCGACGGTGGCGGCTGCGAAGCCCCAGGACAGGTAGAAGACGGCGGGCAAGCCGTAGCGCTGGCCGAGCAGCGCCGACAGCCCCGCGCCCGCCATGTTGCCCGCGTGGTTGGCGGCCTGGTTGCGACCATTGAGGCGCGCGAACCCGTCGGCGCCGCCGCCCGCCACGCCCAGCGTCATTGCCACCAGCGACGGCATCAACAGGCTGCCGGCCACCTGGCCGACGACCTGGGCCGAGAAGGTGAGCGGCGGCAAGCGCGGCCCCAGCAGCGTCGCGACCAGCGCCGCCGACGCGACGGCGGTGCCGCCGACGGCCAGGGCGCGCTTGTGGTTGGTGGCGTCGATGAGGGCGCCGATGGGGGCGGACGCGACGAGGGTCGCGACGCCGCCGGCCGTCATGACGGAGCCGATGAGCCCCGGGGCCCAGCCGTGCCCCTGCAGGAAGACGCCGAGAAAGGGGCCGATGGCGTTGCCGACGTCGGCCATGAAGAAGGCCATGGCCAGGAGGGCCCATTTCGCCTGGGCGACTTTGCGTGGCGGCGGCGGCGGCGGCGGCAAGGAGGGTGGAACAGCTGACCCAGGCTCGGCCTCCTGGGCCGCTTCCGGGTCCACTCTTGTCGACGGCGACGGCGGCGATACCGTGGGCTTGGGCTCGTCCATGTTGTCGATTCTGGATTTTCCGTTCCATGGCGTGCGTCTGGAAGCTGTCCGAGTCCGGGACACTCTTATTTATAATGATTGGTCTCTCCGTCGTCATGCCTCTCGGGCTCGGCCCGATCTTGTGTCCTTGATTCAGACAGAACCCTGTCGAGGGTGCAGCCGAACCTAGCGCTGCAACCTCGATATGCCGGCAGTGAACAGCTTTTATATTTAGCTTTGCCGTGCATACGCCGCGACCAGGAACGCCCTTGTTCGCCAGAACAGCTTGGTGCCCAATGCGTCTGGCAAACATGTCAACATCGGTGAGGGGTCATCGCTTGGTTCTGCTGGGCAGGCCGCGTAACGTCGCCCTGGGAACGACACAGGATGGGAGAAAAGTAAGTTCACAAGTGAAGAGGGTGTATATCGGCGCGGTTTATTGCTAGAAATCTGCTCCTCTCAAGGCTCGTCGGTTTATGCCGAGGGCTGCACTCCCCTCTCCTTCCCCTTTCTCCCAGTCTTAAAATTAATAATTAATTGTAATATTTATTGCGGGTGTACTGCAGATGCTCGCGAGCCCTGACACCAGTCAGGACTGCCCGTTCCCAGCTAATCCCTGCTGTGATTTCTCCACCGAGGCTTCCTGAACCTCGAGTCCGACCATGCACAATTTACGCAGTCGGGCGACCCGCACCATGTGATATTCTGGAAAACGGCGTCGTTGGTGATGCTGCTGCCGTGACAGTCTGGGCCGAGGGATCATCATCACCAGGATCCTCGACATAGCAGACAATCTGCTCTATTACTGGTTGGGGCCAAGAAACCAGATCGAGCCGTGCCGGCCGGATTGGTACCGATCGCCGACGATAATTCCGGCCTTGGGTGATGGCGACGCCTGCGGGACAGCCCAGTATTGTCTTGCACGGATGGCTGCGGTTTGTGAACTCTACGAGAAGATATAAAAGAACGAAGATCCTAGGCAGGCAGGCATTTGGGAGTGACCGTAATAAACAGCGCTTGTGATAAATCTGTCCAGATAATTACGGTATGCAGATAGGCTAGGCCGAACTAGCGAGCCGACAAACAAAAAGGTAAAGAAGTCCAGGTAGATTGTGAGTCTGGCTACCCTAGGCACGAGCCCATGCCAGACCGGCACACAGGATCAAGTGCTCGTGTTAAATCCTTTCAGCTTGCCCTCGCTGATGTAGCTGTCCAGATTATTTTCAAAATCGACCGGGCCGAAAGGCCACACACCCTCCTCAGTCACCGAGTCTTGGTTGGTCTCCTTGTACAGGGTGAAGTAGGTCGGGGGGCACGCGCCGAGGCCGGCGAACCAGCCCTTCTTAGGTCGCAGGAGCTCGTTCCAGCTCTGTAGCGTCTCGTCGTCGACCTCGATGACGAGCCTGCCCAGGTCCGCCCCCGGCTCGCGCTCGGCCACCGTCTTCTCAGCCGTGCGGAGGACGTGGGCGGCGAGGCGGGCGCTCATGGTGTACGTCGACGTCATGTTGGCCGACCCGGTGCCGCCCGAGGGCGAGGCCAAAAACATGTTGGGGAACCCGAGGGCGGCGGCGCCCGCGTACACGCCCCCCTCGGCCAGCGTCTGCAGCAGCGACTTGCCGCCGCGGCCGCGGATGGGCGCGCCCACGCTCTCAAGCCCGCGGCCCGCGGCCTGGTCGAAGCCCGTGGCCAGCACGAGCGCGTCGAGCTCGTACTCCTTGCCGCAGGCCACAACGCCCCCGGCCGTGTAGGCCTCGACGCCCTGGCCGTCCGTGTCGACGAGGGTGACGTTGGGCCGGTTGAAGCACTGGAGGTACCACTGGTGGAAGTTCGGGCGCTTGCACCAGCCGGCGTACCAGGCCGTCAGCTTGTCGGCCGTGGCGGGGTCTTTGACCACCTCGCGGACGTGCCCGCGCAGGCGCTCGTCCTCGGGCAGCCCGCGCCGCATCATGTCCTGGACGTTGGCCGCGATGGCCTCGGGCGTGGACAGGTCCACCGCGTGGGCGCGGGTACTGCCAATGAAGCCCGAGAAGCCGCGCGCGCGGCTCCAGCCGTCCTTGAGCAGGTTGTCGGCCTCGGTCGCGGTCGGGTCGTCGGTCAGGAACCGGTTCAGGTTGGTCATGCGGGCCTTGTGCCAGCCGGCGCCCGGGGCCGTCACCTTGGCCCACAGCTCCGGCGTCGTCTCGATCTGGTCGCGCGGGCCGACGTACGAGGGCGTGCGCTGGAAGACGTACAGGTGCTTGGCGTACCTGGCCAGCTCGGGTGCCGCCTGTACCGCCGTAGCGCCGGTCCCGATGATGCCGACCACCTTGTCCTTGAGCTTGACGAGCTCCGGATTCTCCTGGCTGCCGCCCGTGTACTTGTAGTCCCACCGCGCCGTGTGGAATATCTTGCGGTTGCACCGGAACTCGTCCAGGCCCGGCAGGGCCGGCGCCGACGGGACGTGCAACGACCCGGGCTGCGGGATGAAGTACTGCGCGTGCACGACGAACTCGCCGTTGAGGTCCGCGTGGGACGGGCCGAGGTCGCGGCGGAAGCGGAGCACCCAGCGCCTCAGACCCTCGTCCCAGTCGGCGGAGAGCAGCTTGGTGCAGAGCATGGTGCGGACGCCAAACTTCTTGGCGATGCGCTCCGCGTTCTCCCGAATTTCCTCGCCGCGCGCGTAGCGGTGCTTGGGCACGAATTCGGTGTCCTCGAGCAGGGGCAGGTACGTGTACCCTTCCACGTCGCACGTCAGGCCCGGGTAGCGGTTCCAGTACCAGGTGCCGCCGACGCCGCCGGCCTCGTCCACGACGACCAGGCGGTCCGGGCTGAAGCCGGCCCGGATGATCTCGGCTGCGAAGATAAGGCCTGCATGGCCAGCGCCGAGGATGACAACCTGGGTGTCGTCGCCGCCCTTCAGGGCCGCGGGCTGTCGGGCTAGTGCGTCGTAATCCACCCAGGGGTCACGCGCCAAGTCCGCCAGGGACTCGGTCCGGGTCGACGCCCGCTGCTTGAAGTTGGCGACGCCAGCGCGCTTGGTGCGCTCGGCCTCGTACCTCTCCAATACCTTGGCCTCGTTGTTGACCATGATAGATAGTGGGGGAATGCGGACGAAACGGGTCAGTATCAATGGACTTTGGGGTGGCCGATAGATGTAGGAGATTCTGCTGCTTGTGAAGTCCCCTCTGGAAGATCAGATGAGAAACTCTCGATACGCGGCTGCCTACCTCACTCTTATATACTCAACTGGATTCTACCAAGACTGATGGAAACGCTGCCTGCTACCTTTCATCAGGATAGCCGGGCATGGCAGTGTCGGGTCGGGCCCCGAAAAAAGACCGACCCGGGATAACGGCACCCTTGTGGAGCTGTGAATGATTAGAAATGACACGACCGCCGGGGCCAACGGGATCGCAACAACTACGGGGATCTTACACCGCCCATAGACGGCGAACTGGGAGCACCCGGGGCCGCATTGAGGAATTTTATTCGGGACGACCCTTGGTGCCACGTCGTGCATACGTGACAAATGCAAGGCCCTGTCAAGACGTGACGTCCCGCCCCGGCGAGTCACGGCGACTACCGAAGGCATCTCCCGGCAGCACATGACTCCATGGCTTGTTAGTCAAACCCAGCCCCGCCCCCTGTTTGTACCTCCCAGCTAAGGGGGGCTGAGATATCCCGTCTCAACCCCGTCTTCCCGTGTCATCGACTACCGGCACAGAGCCGGTTACCGCATCGTGAAAGTGTTTGCGCAATTTATAAAAGGGGTTGAATAACCATTGCAGTTCGAGCTGACCGTATTAATAGTGCAAGTGGTAACGTCACTAGAGGGAGTTGGCCAAATGCGATCTGAAGGCTATAAAGCGCGGGCGTTATAAAAGTACTCTTTAGCCAACTGGCTGGTTGCTAAGCATTTCAAGTTTAATTTTAACGGACAGGCGCAGTTGCTTTAGCCTGGAATATTGATTCGCGAGGCGCAACTATGTGACTTTATAGTTGTAGATTCCCTCCAACTAGATATACTTCTGGAGTAGGGGGGAGGTCCCGGACCGGCAGTGCGGACGGGGGACGTGTCCCCCGTCCGGGTTCGGGCCCGCCCTTATCATAGCACTTGTTTTTCTTCTCGGATGACACTCATGTGTTATCAAAATGAAATCCCTCTTCCATATCAGTGGCAGATCGTTTCCAAGCCCACGGAAAATAGTGCGAAAACGCAAGGATGCGTTACACAGATCGCGAACAGCAGGGGCAGTAAACCAAATCTTAAAAAAGTGGTTCGCGACTTAGTAAACGTACACTTTTCCTGTTCGCATCGAATCCTGTTTCCAATTATCACTGTACAATAGGTATTTAAAGCCGGTTAGAAGTAGATGGTGTACTAGAACTGTCGTTGTTGCGAGCCGTCACGTGCTACCTATCCTCTGGAAGTAAAGTGGGCCGTGGGGGAGCTTGGGAGCGAGTGCCCCACTCCGCCGTGCTTCCACGCAAGTGGCTCTGCCTGCGAGGCTGCTTCCCGCCAACCTCCGCAGACGGCAGAGACTGCAAGCGACGCCGACAACTGAACAAACTCCAAACCACACCCGAAGTCCACAGTCGATTCGTTGTGCCCCACGTGCCCGAGCGAGACGAACTACGCCCCAACCGCAAAGTCTCCCCTCAGACGACCAGAATGGCGGACGCCGCGCTGAAGCCAGAGAAAGACTTCTCCAAAGATGCCGACAAGCTGATCCCCGAGGCCGAGAAGCTGGCCATATCGGACCTCGCAGCGGCAATCGAGAAGCTCAGCGGACTGGAGAAGCTCGCCCGCCAGGTTGGTTTCCTCCCACGGTTTGGGCGGCTGGCCTGATCTCAAGCTTACGATTTCCCCTCCAAACGCACCCCTCTAGGCCTCAGACCTCGCCACCACATCACGAGTGCTCATCGCCATCGCTACGATATGCAAAGATGCCGGAGAATGGAGCACTCTCAACGACCAGGTGCTGCTGCTCTCCAAGAAGCACAGCCAGCTGAAGCAGGCCATCACGAGGATGGTCCAGACCGTCATGGGCTTCCTGGATGCCACGCCGAATCTCGACACCAAGCTTTCCGTCATCGAAACTCTACGCACCGTGACTGAGGGCAAGATATTCGTCGAGGTGGAGCGCGCGCGCGTGACCAAAATCCTGTCGGACATCAAGAAGGAGCAAGGGGACCTCAAGGCCGCGACCGACATCCTGTGCGAGCTGCAGGTCGAGACGTTTGGTTCCATGGAGCGCAGGGAAAAGACGCAGTTCATACTGGACCAAGTGGCGCTTTGCATCGAGACGGGCGACTGGGCCCAGGCAGGAATCCTGAGTAGGAAGGTCAGCACCAAGTATCTGGCACGGAAGCCCAAGAAGACGCCAGAGCAGCTAGAGAAGGAGCGCAAGGACCGGGAGAAGAAGGAGAAGAGGGGCGAGACGGTGCCAGAAGTTAAGGAAGACGACACCACGGACCTGAAGCTGCGCTACTACGAGCAGCAGATCGTTCTCGCGCAGCACGATGACAAGTACCTCGACGTCTGCAAGCATTACCGACAGGTTCTGGACACCGAGGCTGTCGAGGAGGACCCCGCCAAGCTCCGTCCGGTACGTCGCTGCAGATGATGCACCACACTCTCCTGTCCACCAGCAAATGCGAGAATGCCAGTGGCCTCGACTAACGTGATGTGTCCTGTTGTAGGTTCTCCAACGCATCATCTACTTCATCATCCTAGCCCCACACGACAACGAGCAGCACGACCTGCTGCACAGGATCCACCGCGACACGCGCAACTCGCAGGTGCCGCTGGACGCAGAGCTCCTCAAGCTCTTTACGGTACACGAGCTGATGCGCTGGCCCGAGGTGGCCAAGACGTTCGGCCCGCACCTTTGCTCGACGGACGTATTCGATGCCGAGGCGCCCCCCGCGCTCAAGACGTCGATGGTCAAGGATGCGGCGGCGGTGCCCAAGCCGCAGCGGCGGTGGGCGGACCTGCGCAAGCGCGTCATCGAGCACAACGTGCGCGTCGTAGCACGCTACTACACGCGCGTCGAGATGGGCCGGCTCACGCAGCTTCTGGACCTGACCGAGGACGAGACGGAGAAGTATATCAGCGACCTCGTCACGTCCAAGACGGTCTACGCAAAGATCGACCGCCCCGCGCGCGTCGTCAGCTTCGCCCGCCCCCGCGACGCCGACGACGTGCTCAACGAGTGGAGCTCCAACATGCGCTCGCTCCTGGGCCTGCTCGAGCGCATCGACCACCTGATCACCAAAGAGGAGATGATGGCACGGATCCAGCCCGGCGCCGGGAAGGAGAGCAGCAAGGGCAAGGGGCAGGCGGCAAAGGTGAAATAAAGGGAAGAGACTTGAGTTTTTAGTGGAGCAAGGCTCTCGAGGCATCGCCAGAGCCAGGACGATAATCGGCGCTCACGAAGATGCTAGTCTAGAGACAAAATAGGTGGACTAGACCTCTGTCTCTCGTCGCAACGAAACGGACCTCCTCGGTGTTCAGCGGCCTGAAACCCGACAGCAAAATGGGCGTAATTGTATGATTCTACTAGACTTTGGTTGGCCCCTTGACGATTTTGGGGACGGTATAGAGTCGGAGTCCTCAAACAACAATGCCCTAGTCACGTCTTTCCCATCGCTTCGCGTGCCGTCAGCGTGCCGACCTTCCAAAGGGACAGTTAAACTGTGACTGCACACTGTTTGTTACTGTGATTTTGAGAGTAGGCATTTATATTCCATATATGGCGAGTACTACCACGTGCCTCCTGTGCCTTTATCTGGGCTTGTTTTTATTCCTTGTGGACGACCAACAGTCCAGCTCCTGCTCCTTGTCAATCAATCGACGTTCAGTACGTTGTCGTCGCTCAAAGTGATTGGCCTTGGAAAGCGTGAGAAATAGCCAACGGCAACGAAAGCGTCTTGTCTATCGTCTATTCCAGTGCTGCGCATGTCTCTTTCCCAACTCGACCTTTCGGCACCCCTCGCACCGCCCAAGTCCCTGTTCCTTCCCACATCCTCCCAGTCTCGTCACAAGTTCGCCTCGGCGGCGGCGACGGCGGCGGCGGGCTGCTCGTCGTCGACGCACCGCTTCTTGACGAAGCCCAGCAGCGGCATGGCCCACTCCTTGCTGATGGGCACGTAGTGGGCGCCCGGGTGCTCGACCACGACGGGGTCCCTGCAGCGCGCGACCAGGGCGCGGCTGCGCGACTCGTCGACGACGGTGTCGAGGCTCCCGATGAAGTGCAGCGTCGGCGTCGCGAGCGGCGGCTCGGTCAGCCAGGCCAGCTCGGGCGGCGTGGCCAGGAAGCCGCTGTAGACGACGGCGAACCGGAGCGGCCGGCCCGCGTTGGCCTCGCGCAGCTCCCGGACCCAGCCCCAGTCGTTCTTGTCGTCGTCCGTGTCCGGCACGGCCCGGTCCGGCTCCAGCGCCCCCGCCACCATGGCGGCCACGACGCCGCCCTGGCTGAAGCCCAGCACGCCGTCGACGCCGCCGCCCGCGGCCCGGACGGCGGCCGCGACGGCGCGCATGCCCTCGGGCAGCAGGCGGTACGAGCCCGAGGCGTCGTCGCGCCGGAACCAGGCCCACGAGTCCTGCGCGCGCGGGTCGTCGTCGGCGCCGTCGCCCGAGAAGCCCGGCATGTCCGAGGCCAGCAGCCGGTTCGGCCCCGTGGGGTAGTGCAGCGTCGGCAGCAGGTTCCAGGGCGCCAGCGTCTTGACCAGCAGCTTCTCCAGCGCGCGCGTCTTGGCGTGGAAGAGCGCGCCCGACTGGGTGAAGCCTGCACGGACGGGTGGTGGTTTGGGCGGTCAGCTCTGGGCGGACGGGTTGAGGGTTGGTTGATGGTGGGCGTCTCCCCTCATTCCATCAAGCAGCACATCTCTTGGGAATTCACCAGCACTTACCATGAAGCATTAGTATTTTGATCTCCTTCTTTGCCGGCTTTGCTGCCGCGGCCTGCCTCTTCCGCGCAGCCCCGGCATCGGCGCCGGTCTGCGATTCTTGGCTACCGGCGGATGCCATTGTCGCACAGAACCGTCGGTTGGTGAAAACACCTGCAACTCCCAGAACCCTTCTATGATTGGCGCGCAAAAATCTAGCTCTCAAACACGGGAATGCAGTGCGCATCATCTAGCGGAAGGCGGCTCGGCTGGACGATGCTTTTATCGGAAGTGCCACATTTGTCAGCTCCACAGCCAAGTCGTTTGAGTTGCCGTTTTGGCTCGTTCGGGATAAGCAATCGACACTGGCCGAAAGGGTCGTCGGGGAAGGACACTGGCAAATCTCCAATGTAGGCCGGACATTGATACACATAATCTGGCTTCTATAATACGAGCAATACCAGCAATACTCATTGCAGACACATCTTCCTTGTGGCGATATGTGGTGGATCTGCGATCAAATCAAGTGGTGCATACCTCGGGCACTAGATCAGTTACACCCCTTGACCCATTCATGGCCGTCGCAGTCAGACTGTTTCAGAAATATCTCCCATCGAGCACCGAGAACCACAAATACTATAGCAACCCCATGTGGCATCTTTGTGGGAAGAGCTGATAAACGACACATGACATAAAAGGTGAATGAACAGTCACACCGAGACACCCGTTCCCAGGGCCCAGGGGAGCCAAAAGGCAGGCTGATCGAATATATGCCATCACTCCTCCTAGGCTGCAGACGGTTCGATCAAGACGATCGTTGGTGCATCGTTTCCTTTTGTTTCGACCTCTATGGTACAGTTGCGCCAAATTCTAAGCGGTCACAGGGCGCTCCGGCCCCGCATAGACCGGGCTGTGTCGATGATAAAGCCATGTCGTCCTCGTATCCGTGTCTAGTGCTTCGCGCCCTTGTTCCTGGGGTCGTTCTTCCACTCGTCGCCTGCAAAGTGCTGTCAGCAGACTGTCGCTGTTTCCAAGACTTTGGGGTGCGCAACGTACCCTTCATCATGGCGTTCTGTGCACTGTTGATGCCGTATGCGATGACCAGGCCTGTTTGCAGCGTGTCAGAATCCAAGCCCCCAAGATGGTCCGCGTCGAATCGTGTGCAGTTCCTCCCGACAGCAACCGCGGGAAACCAGGCGGGGCACTGCGCGCATGTCGCTCGAGACCGCAAACGGGTGTGGACCGTCACATACCGGCGGCGAAGAAGGGCGCCAGCGGCTTCACTGTAGGGGAAATCGGTTAGCGGGCGGGTTCGGAAGAGGCTCGGAGGGGTTAGGCAGGAGGTCGGCGGGAATAGACGTACGAACTGGCGTCGGGAACTTCTTGGGAAGGGCAACTCCGAGGAACGACATGTTGGCGATGCGATTGGCAGCTGTTGTGGGTGTTTTGTCGGTGGGGAGGCGGTAGTAAAGGCGATGTCGTCGAGTTGGACTGGGGCTTCCCTCGTCGTCTTTTCCGCCCCCAAACCAAACGAGCCTTTTTCGCGGTGGTGCCGAGATTGCTGCCTCAGGCAATTAAGATAAGGTAGCTGAGGGGCGTGCCGTGGCACGTGCGTGCACTAGACGTGCCTTCCCTCAAGGAAGAGTTAGGTAATCAGCCCAGTGCTGTTTCTGCCGGCCAGCTCCACCAGGCTGGCACATGGAGCAGGGTGATGTCACCCCATTTTCCCCGCAAACCCAACGAAGCTGGCGCCAGGGCCAGCCAATCTGCGCTCATGCACAGCTAAGCTCCTTCGCCTAGGCGTTACAAGTACCGGATCAGAATTGCAACTGTAGCAGGACGGCCCTAACATGCAGAAATGCCTCGGTGAAGAGGAATAAAAACAAGAAAATGAGAACAGAAATAAAACGAGGAAGAAGAACAGTATGTTGATTTGAGAATATACTTTTGTACAAGGGAATGAATAACTGGACCTGTGCTTAGCATCGTCCCCTATTCCCTTCACTGGCTCCCCTCGCCTGCAACCATCCACCCCCGAGACAATTTAATTGATACACCAAAAGGAAGCAAGTTATTTACAAAGCGGTTTCCCAGCGAAAAGCCAATTTAAAAATTCACAAAATATCAAGTACTAAATACATAAGCAATGGTTTTAATAACATTTTTCTTTAAATTTTTATAATTTTCCTAAAGTTTATACATTTGATTGTTTATTGCTTGCTGGAGGCTGTTGAGTCGATTTGGGGGGAAATCCCCCACTTTTCCGCCTTTTTAATGTATCAGTTAAATTGTCTTGGAGGTGCCATCTTCCCTCCCGACTCAAGTCCAAAGCTCTTGCCAGGTGCGGGGTGCTGTGCCGGCTGCATTTAACTCGTCCCAGATTCCCGATTACAATCCATCCAATTAGCCAACAGCCTCACCCTCCATTCCACTCCCTCTGTACCCTTTCTTTCCCCTCATCGCCTTGGCCCTGTTTGTCGCGGGCTCGCTGGTAGTGCCGCACACTCCGTCTCTGTCGCGGAACGTGCCAAGCTGCCCTACCTCCCGCTCGCCCCTTGCCTGCAGGTCACGCCGAGATACCGCGTCGTACCCTGCGCCCGCTGCTGCTACCGACTGGCTGCTGCTACCCAAACCCAGTCTTTCCTGACCGTGCTGTGCATCGCTCGCTGCTTCTGCTGTCGCTGCTACCACCCTTCTGCCACTTTAGGAGCCTGCTTGTCCGCCCAGACGCCTTCTGCTATTACCTGTCTGCCTGCCCGCCCGCTATCGATCGTACCACGCCAACGCACGCGCAACCCCCAACGGAAAGGCCGCCAGTAGAATTCCCGAGGCATCCTCGGCCTTATCCCTAGGCGACACCTCGTGCTTGGCTAGCTCTGCCACTAACCGTTGAGCACGCGGGCCCGATTTCGCTCACTACCCCCAAACCTCGGTTTCGCTCCAGGCGCGACGGAAAGGCCGCCCGAGACGATTCGGGCAACCTTGTCCATTCCCCTCGGACGTGATAAAGTCGATTGGAAAGCCGCTGTCCAGCTGTCTGACCTCTCCGCCGAGCAAACCGCACCTATCGCCCATTCCCGCCACCCACCATGCTCTCCCGTCGTATCCTCCGAGAGGCAGCTGCCCCGCTGCGCGGGGCCCGGAGCTTCGCCACCTCGGCCGTAGCTCGCTCGCAGAAGCGCACGCCGTCCCTAGCCGATATCGAACCGGACCGGCAGGCAGAATTCCTCGAAAAGCAGAAGGCGTTCCGGACACAGCTCTCGGAGGCGCAGAAGCAGCGCGGTACCAGTTTGTCCACTCCAAAGTCCTCCCCCGCCTCCTCCTCCTCCTCCTCCTCGACGTACTCGTCATCGTCGTCCGCCCCCAAGGGTGGCGGCGACGGCGGCTCCGTCCTGGACAGCTTCATCCCCGGCACCGTCCAGGGCCTGGGCTCACTTAGCACCGCCAAAGGTCGAGCGGCCGAGACGGCGTCGCACGAGCCGGCGCGCAAGCTCGGCCCGCTAACGAACCTGATCTACGGCACCAAGGAGGGCCGCGAGATGGACGCCCAGATCGAGGCCAGCTTCAGCCAGGTCCTCGCCCGCGGCAAGTACGTCCACACCATCGTCTTCCACGAGGTCAAGCACGACAAGACCGAGGAGTACATGGATCTGGTCGGGAAGTGGTACCCCCGCATAGCCTCGGATCCTGAGAATAAGGTTCATCTTGTGGGGAGCTGGCGTACCGAGGTTGGCGACTGCAATACGTTTGGTAAGTTGAGCGATGGCCCCTGTATTCGTCCATTTACAGCGGCATCCTTATCTGACACGCGCTGTTACCCATGCAGTCCATATCTGGGAGTACCAGCGGTACACGGGATATCACGCCTCCCTCAACATCATCGCGGGGCACCCCGAGTTCCCCGGGTTCGAAAAGAAGCTCAACTCGCTCATCAGGTCCAACAACTCGTCCCTGATGCAAGAGTTCTCCTTCTGGCCCACGACCCCACCGCGGCACCTCGGCGGCGTCTTCGAGCTGCGGTCGTACACGCTGCACCCGGGCAACCTGCTCGAGTGGGAGACGCACTGGCGCCGCGGGCTCAAGGCGCGCCGCGAGGTCATGGAGGGAGTCGGCGCCTGGTTCGTCCAGATCGGGGAGCTCAACACGGTCCACCACCTGTGGCAGTTTGCCGACCTGGAGCAGCGCAAGATCACGCGCGAGAAGAGCTGGAGCATCTCGGGCTGGAGCGAGACGGTCCACAAGACAGTGCCGCTGATCCAGAGCATGAAGTCGCGCGTCCTCGTGCCCATGCCCTGGTCCCCGGTCGCGTAGAGCCTTCACACGCGCGAGCATTGTTTGTCTAGCTCTTGCCGCGCTTTACAGCCTCTTAGTCCCTATATTTGGAAGCATCGCGGTTGTTTACGATTTTTCTCCTGTGTTTGTGTGCCACGAATTCCTCATATTCTTTTTGCCGGTACTGTCTTTCTCTGGTGTACCCGCCCGGCGTGTTTGACTGAATATCTAGTCATCAAGCATATCCTGTTTAGAATTGAAGATGCCATGGTTAGTGTAACTGTTGTTTAGCCTTGTATTGCACCCCACGCCACCACAGGACAAGATGACCATTTTAAGGTTCCAAAGGTTGACTAAAATCGGTAATGCCGTGAGTTCCCTTCATAAGCTTTCTTATTCCCAAGATCATTCCTTTAGAGCTAACCACGGAATTAACATAGTTCCCGGAACTTGTACTAGTCGCTTTCTGTTGTTTATGTACCTTGGTGGGACTGCCATTTTCTGTGGTGGTCGTGCACCCCAAACTGGGTGGCTCAACATGGTCCTCATTCTTCCATCTCCTCGCCCAACACGGCGGCGAGATTCCGCCTGGCTATGCTCAGTGTATTACTCAGAGCGCCGAGCTTGGCCGATAGCGACAGCAGGCTTGGGTCGGCGCTCTCGACGCGGATCTTTTCGCGCACGTAGACCTGCGCGGGGCCCTTCTTGGCACCCCCGCCGTTTCCGCCACCGTTCCCGCCGACGAGAAATTGCTGCGATATGGACCGCTTGAGAGAGGTCGGGGACCCCGGGCCGTGGGACCTCCCGGCGCCGTGGACGGCGGGGCGGCCGTCGAGCCCCGCGCAGCAGTAGCCAAAGACGCGCTCGCTCTCGTCGTGCTCGAGGCGCCTGGCCGTGCCGATGGCGAGGGCGAACTTCATGCCCACGCTGACGGGGGCGTCGGCGGGCTCGAGGGCGCGCACCCAGAGCACCAGGGCCGACTCCTGGATGCCAAAGTAGACGGACACGTTCTGCAGGGTCGCCGCCATCGCCGCCGCGGCGTCCATTCCGTGGTGGTGGGCGTGGGAGGATGAGGGGTTATGGTTGTGGTGGTCGCCGCTACTGGTGGAGAAGGGGAGGGAGGACTGCAGGCTCTGCAGGGGGTTGTGGGACGGCGGGGGCGCGGCGGGCGGGAGGAAGTGCGAGGGCGCAGCTGACAGGGTCGTCCATGCCGGGTCGGGCGCCATCACGGGCGGGCCCTTGAGCACGGCCGAGGCCTCGGCCAGCGAGGCGGACAGGAGGCGGAGCTGGGCCGAGACGAAGGCGGCGGCGCCCGGGTTGGGGGACCTTAAATAGCGGTCATCTCCTTCACTGCCCGGCTTTGGCAGGTGGGCGAGGGTCTGGGTGAGCACGTCGAGAGCGTCGGTCAGGAGCGTGTGCAGGTGGGTGAGGGGCGCGAGGTGGATGGGGTGGTCCGGGTCAAGCGACAGCGTCTGGGGCGGGGCGGTGCGCAGGCGCAGCGATAGGGTGCCCTTGACGATGCGGGTGCCGACGCGCGTGATGTGGCCCTTGACGGCCTCGTTGCGCGGCGTGCTGACGACGAGGGTCGAGCCTGGGTCGATGGGCGCCAGCAGGGCGTAGCAGTCCTCGAGCCCGTGCTTGAGGTTTTGGAGCGTGTCGTGCAGCTCGTTCAGGAGCCACTCGAGCTCGCGGCGCTTGAGACCGGTCGCGATGTCGATCAGCATGGTTTCCGGTTGTCGCAAGCGAGGAGGCCTGCTGCAGGAGAGAGAGGGAAGGATAAGCAGAGGGTTGAGCTTCCCGCCAGCAACCTACCTGGGTGTCCTCAAGGGCGGTTTTGAGGTCGGCCGCGGATAGAGGCGGCCAGATTGCGACAGACATTGTCGGATTATCGGATGGCGTCGATGTGTCCCCTTGTCGATCAGCCGCCGGGTCTGGAAGCAGGCATCCTCGAAGCTACTGGCCCTCGTCCTAACTTGGGTGGAAGCCTGGAGTAGATGGGTGCTGCCTCTGGTCAAAGCAACACTCTGTCCATTGAGGTTGTCGTCTTTGTCGTCAGGCCTTTGCGCCACGGCAGCTCCAGCTCCACCAGTGTGACGCAGCTGGCCGTGCGGGCAGTACTCGGCGGCCGTGTTGGGCAGGCGGTGTACACTAGCGCCGATTACGTGTGGGGTATTCTGTCGCTTCCTTGCGCCAACGGCTCAATCAACTCTTGCACGTGGTCCATGTTTCACGCGAGCATTGTTACCACCACCAAGGTGCCCTTATTCGTCATCCGCTTGCTGTTACACAGGCCAGACCATATCTGACTGGGTCGTCCATCCGCTGGACTGCATCTTTAGACTCAAGGGTGCTAGCGAGACGAGCGCCTGCTCAAATCCAACTACAAAATGGCCGACCCGGCACCAACCGCCGCGACAGGCCCGGCGCCAGCAACACAACCGGCACTCGTGGCAGAGCTGCCGTCCAGGCCAGCGGCGGCGAAAAAAGCCCGGCTGCCGCAGGGCGCCAAGATGATCAGCCGCAGCCTCAACACGGCGCGGAACCGGCCGCCAGCCAACGCGACCCGCGAGGACCCGCACCTCGCGCCCAAGCGGCGCATCGAGATCCGGCGCGGCACCCCGCTCGTCTCTGTCCTCAAGCGCGTCCAGAAGCTGCTGGACAAGAGCCCGCGCGGCGTTCTCTCCCAGAGCCTGCACGATGCGCCGTCGACAGGGGCCGCTGGCGGCAAGAGGAGAGGCGGCAGGGGTGGTAGTGGTCACGTGAGTCGCGGCGGTGGCAAGGACAGGGAAGACGACGACGGCATAGCGGCCGGGGACGAGCGGTTCGACGTGCTTGTCGTCGGCACGGGCGGTCAGAACATTGAGAAGGCCCTCAAGACGGCCGCCGTGTTCCAGCGCCGCGGCGACTGTGTCGTCCGGCTCTACACCAACACCGTGAGCGGCGTTGATACGTACGAGTGCGACGAGGAGAGGAGCGACGACGATGACGACGACGGGAGTGATGGCGGCGCGCGGACAGGGGGCGCCGACACTGCCATGTCAAGGGTTGTGGCAGCCACTGTTCCTCCCACGGGGCATGAGAGGTGTGCTGGGAGGACGGTGAGCAAAGTTGTGAAGCAAAGGCCAAGAAAGGCGAGCTCTCTTGAGATCGGGATCCGTCTCAGGTAATGACGCCGGGAATAGCGAAGCAATGTCAGACCCGAAATGATACCCCATGAGGATGCGTTATCACAAGTGTCCCTTGCGCCTCGAGAGTGGGGCTTCCACTAACAACGTTTTTTTTGTGCCAACTACAAAACAAAGGTACATTCAGTGAATCAGCATTCTCGACTTCGCGGCTCTGTGATCCAATGGTGCCGCCTCCATTTCCCGAGGAGAAAGAGGAACGAATAAGGTTAGCTTGGCGTCACTAAAGGCCCGAGATAAAATAAAACCAACTACGCGCTGCATCCTGCCGCGGATTGACGTTTTCACTTGGCATATCATTCCGTGATGGGAGCGTTCCATGGACATCTCTAAATGGTGATGACCTGGCGGTCGTCGCGGCTGGCCCCGTGGAGCTCATCCACCTCGACCTCGCTTGCGGCCCGAGTCACCGCGGGGTCGCAGCTTGGAAGGAGAGGCGAGGTGATAGGCATCGACAAAACGGGCACGCTCTACTTTACTTTCAAGATTCGCCATCTCGTCCATATTTTAGGTCGTGCCACGGAACTTGACCTCGAAATTCCCGCCAGTCACAGGTCCTCGAGGATCTCTCCCATAGTGCATTGGTCCGAGGTCGGCAAGGCGTTGCAACCTTGCAAAGATCGGAGGCATTCGCACGACTGGTCTTGTCGAGTAGTCCTCATTTGCCTATTTTCTATACTTAACCTAGTTATCCCACAAGGAAACGCAGCCAGCCTACAGAACTGGCGGGAAAGAAGAACTCCGCAAGAAACAGAAATCTCAAGCAGGCGTTGGAAGTCCGCGGGGAAATGGACGCCAAGGCCATCGTGGGGGACAACCGAGTCGTCTCCCCTGCCTACGCCGCGAGAGCCGCAGTGTTGTCACCGGGGATTTTTGCAGTACCGTTGGCTGTGCTTCTATCAGGCACCTTCTTGGAGCCCCGGTCAGTTTCCCGGCATGGAAATAGCCTATCGGGTAATAGGCTGCATGTGCAGATAATGGCGCAGCAGGAGAATTAACAGCTTGGCGATACATCGCTCCGACGGCTAGCGCGGTCTCACCTCGTTGCATAACACTGCATATCCCAAGACGGTAAGTGGTATCAAAAGGAATTTTTGACCGTGGAGGCTCTAGCGTCCGCTCGCTGCTAGAAGCAGACAATATCTCGCAATAGCTGCACGGTATGGTCCCAACAGCGAAGTCTGCCTCGTATGCTGGCTTCCATTTTGGCCAGTTCGATATAGCGAATACCCACACTACGCGGGAGGGATTCCGCGAGTCACTGAATGGGGCAGGTCGCTTAGGCTGGCCTATCTCCCATCTCGCGCGTCTCTCCACTAGGGTGTAGGTGGAAGTAGCCGGTGTCGCGCAGCACCTGACAAGCATCACGGATGCGCGGCATGTATTGGGATGATCCATCGTCTCGTGGATCTTCGCCGAGCTCAACCCGACCCTTTCCAATCTTGACCTGCACCGGTGCCGGAACGTTGAGAGATGGTGACAGTGGTATCGCCCCGAAGTACCTTGGGGGATAGGTTGGATGGTATGCACATAAAAGCCAGGTAGCGTCCGCTCCCCAGTCTGCATCGATGCGATCTCTCCTCAGCCCAGGACGCCATTCCAAGCCTTGGGACTCGGCATAGCAAAGTGCCCTGCCCACTATGCGAAGCACCATCCCCTCCACTATCTCGGCCCTGGCCCTCGCTATCTGCCTAGGCGTGGCCGGGGCCTTGGTATCGGCCGCGGAAGGAGGCCAGGCCGGCGGGGAGACGCGCGTCCCCCTCGTCGCGCGCAGCTTCATCGTCGAGTACCTCCCCTCCGGCTCGTCGGCCAAGCACCGGCGCCAGACGGCCGCCATCGCGTCGGCGGACGGCACCAGGATCGTCAAGAACTTCGACAGCGGCGTCTTCTCGGGCGCCAGCATCGAAGTTCACCGTCAACGACCTCGAGCGCCTGCCCGGCGTCGCGCGCGTCTGGCCAAACGAGCACGTCCAACTGGCGCCCCTCGTGGACCGGCGCGCCGCAAAGGTCGAGGATGCCGACAACATCACGTCTCACAAGGTTACTGGCGTCACCAAGTTGCACGCCCAGGGCATCTTTGGCAAGGGCGTCAAGGTCGGCGTGGTTGACACGGGCATCTGGTACAACCACCCTGCTGTACGTATGCTCCTCTCCCTGTCTGTTTGCTTAGCAAGGTGAAGAGCAGCTGCTGAATGTGGTGACTTTGCGATAACAGCTTGGTGGTGGTTTTGGGCCGGGTTTCAAGGTCGCCGGCGGTTGGGATTTTGTGGGCGACGGTGTTTGGCCTATCAACAACGACCCCAAAGTGCACGATGACGACCCCATCGATATGGCTGGCCACGGCACGCACGTTGCTGGCATTATCGCGGGAGCAACTGAGGGCTGGACCGGAGTCGCCCCTGAGGTGGAGCTGCATGCCTACAAAGTCTTTTCCACCTCTGGTGGCACCGACACGGCCACTCTCATTGAGGCGTTCCTCAAGGCGTACCAAGATGGAGTAAGTTGAGCTGGGGGGCTTTCTCGTTTAAAAGTAGCGGGCCACTAACACGTACGTAGATGGACATCATCGCTGCCAGTATCGGTGGTCCCAACGGCGGGGCCGCCCCCGCCACCTACAAGTTCTCGACCCAGCCGGCCGCGGGCGTCGACACGCTCACGCTGGGCATCACGTACGGCGGGCCGGGCATGGCGCCGCGCATCAAGACGTTTGTCCAGTTCGAACCGCGCCCGTACGAGCCCGAGGTCCACCTGCCGCGCGACTTTACGCTGGGGCCGGGCGAATCCAAAAAGGTCACGGTCAACTTTAAGAACCCGGATACGCTGGGCTGGAACGAGTCAAACCTGCCGCTATACGGCGGCAAGGTGGTCGTCGCGGGCAGCAACAGCGAGATCTTGTCGGTCCCCTATATGGGCCTCGGCGCCGACCTGAAGGCCCGGACGAGCCCCATCGTCGAGATGGGCTTTCCGGACCTCACCTCGGGGCCGCGGTATACACCCATCTGGGACAAGAACTGGTACCTTGTCCCCTTTCCTTCCCTCTTTCTCTTCTTTTTTCCCTTGTTCATCTTCACGTCGGGGCTCAACTCTAACGCGCCCAATATCACAGGTTCAAGTTCAATCTGAGCAAAGACGAGCAGGATTACGCTAGGTTCGGCACCAAGCTTCTTTGGGGAACCAAGGAGCTTCGTTTCGATGTCAGTCACCAGTCTGCTCCCCCAGCATCCCGCTTCTTGCAGGTTCCACTAACATGCCCTTCTCCACGCCGTCGCAGATCTTCGAGCCGACCTGGAACGAGCGCGACTGGGCGTACCCGCCCGCAACAACCCGGACGAGACGTACTCGTTCCCCTTCACAACGTCGCCAGCACCGAACTCCTCACCGCGTACCAGTCCTAGTGGTTCGGCAAGCTGGGCAACGGGTCGCAGATCGCGAACGGGCAGTACAAGATCCGCCTCGCCGTGCTGAAGCCGTTTGGGAACCCGCACGCGTCGGACAACTGGGACGTCATGCCGGCGCCAGTTGTCGAGGGCAGGGGTAGGTACTGATGTGACGCACAGATTCTGGCGGCTTCGTAGCTACGAATGCAAATGATGAAGAATTAGCCTACTCCAAGAACGCCGTCCCCCATCAGCTCCTTAAAACAAGGGTGCCGTCCAATCCAAACCTGCAACATCACCAAGCTCCCTCTTCTTCGCCCTCAGGCTTCCAAGCACCTCCTTGCATGACATGTGGCCATTCTCTTCTGCCAGTTCCATCGCCCGATCCACGACGCTGTCCGGGAAGCTGCCCTGGCAGTACTCCCACAAGAGCTCAATCATGCTCATCCGGCCATGCTCGGCCGCCCCCTCGAGCGGCCATCTCCCGTCGTATTCACACGGAGGCATGCTCAAATCGGCGCCCCGTTCGAGCAGCTCACACAAAACAGCACAGTTTCCCCCCATGGCGGCCAGCTGCAGCGCCGTCCCACCACCCCGACTAGCTGCCGCCGGCGCGTTCACGTCGGCGCCGCGATCCAGCAGCAACTTCAGAATGTCAAGATATCCCAGCTCGGCGGCCTTCTGGAGCGGGGTTCTAGCGGCCCCGTCCACTATCCGTCGGTTGATGTTGGCACCCTTTTCTATCAGCAGCTCGACCAAGCCGACGTGGTTCCTAGCGACTGCCTCGAGAAGGGCCGTGACCTGTGGAAAAGATCCCCGAGGTCCCAGAGGTAGCGCCGCAAGCTCGTGTGTGTTTGGGTCGCAGCCAACGTCGAGAAGGTATTTCACTACGGCAATGTTGCCGAAGTCTTCTTGTGTCTTCGCGATTGCAACTCTCAGATCGATAATGGGGCAAAACCTCACCATGTAACTGGGATAACGGCCATAGGGATACCACATCCGGAGATTTGATAAATCGACGATTCCGGATTCGAAAAGTAACTTTAAAGAGGGCAAACCCTTCAACCCTTGGCCGACCGCATTCTGAATTGCAGTATATGCAGCGTTTTTCTCGATATCTCCGCCCTCGGATTGATGCGCCACAAACTCGAGCACAGGCCGTGACACCTGGCTCAACAGGAAGGACAGGAGATGCGGACTGTGGGTTACAGCATTTCCCAACGCATCCTGGTCTATTGAATCCGCTCCCAATCGGGTGACAAGATAAACCATGTCGTCGTTCTTTCGGGAGAGGGCTTCTCGGAGATAGCGTGTTAGGCCCTGCCGTGACACAAGCTTGTGTTCGCACAGAAAAGGCAGCACCTCTCTGTTCATTGCTTTCCAGGTGACTTCCCAATGTCTGTCCTTGCTCGTTCTCACCGGAAAGGTTTCCGCCGCTTTCAGAATCAGTTGGTGATCACCCTTTCCAATCAGATGCTCGAACAAGATGCCCCATTCTGATTCTGAAGCGACTTCTTTCCATTCCATTAGGCGCTGGTGATATAGTTCTGGTTGCATGTCTGTAGGGCCAGAGATCAGGAGAGTGTGTACCACCGGCCAATGGCGCAGAAGGGCTGCTTGGAGCAGGGGGTATTCCTTTAGGTACGCATCTGTGAGGGCGAGCGTGATCTCATCGTAGTTTTTATAGGCCGAAATCTTGAGCGCGTCTCGTAGATCTTGGATGCAGCAGTGAGGGTGGTGTTGGAAAAGCTCTTGCATTTGGGCCAGGTTTCGGGCCTTGGATGCCGCCGTGATTGCTGCTTGGAAGTGCCCTTGAACTTGGAGATGTTCCAAGCACCCCGCTTCTTTAATAACTAGAATCAGGTCCTCGCTTTTGGACAGGATTGCTGCGGCTAGGGCTGTCGTGTTGAAACCCACCAGAGCCTCAAGTTTAGGGTATTTGGACGACAGCGCCTCAAGATTAGGGCATTGGGAGAGGGCCAGGTCGACGACCTCCTTGCTCCCGCCGGAAATCGATGCGAGAAGAAACTCGTATTTGATCTCACTGATGCCGAACGGGAGCAGCACCTTGACCAAACCAAAGTAGCCCTCTTTGGCGCTTTGCAGTAAAGCCTGCTCGAAGTATGCCTTGAGCCCTTTGTTGTGGTTGCAGGCCCACTGATGTTTGCGGAAGCAGACATCAAGTATTCTCTTGACAAATCTTAGGGCCATATCTTCATTCTGGGATCCGCTGATGGCGCAGCGCAAGGATCCAGCCCTGATGAGCTCTTCGTGTTGCATGTGTGTTAACTTTGACGCGAGGTCGAGCGCGAGTTTGATCCCCGGCTCCGTCTCGAGCAAGTGACGCTTAAAAAAAGGGTTGAACAAGAGCTCTGGGTCGATAAAGACACCCGCCTTTTGAAGGAGATACGCGATCTTTTCGAAATCCGAACTGATCGAAGCATCGCATTGCATCAAGGACCCCATAAGATGACCGAAGGCGTTACGGACAGGATCTAACTTTGCAATATTCGGTTGGAACTCCAGGACAGCTTGAACCAGAGAAAGATTCTGCAAAGCCGCACATCTTCCGAGAATAGAGTACTCCACCCCCTTGATGCAGCAAACAATCGTGTCGATATCGACCGCCCCACTAAACAGCATTTGCCGGAATGCGGTGACGTTCTGGGCTTCGATGCACGCTTTTAGAAGACTTGCTCCCATCCCTTTAACCCGAGGGTTTTGCTTGTCCCGGAGCATTTGCTGGATGAGCGAGGCGCCGTTCTGAGACCGGGAGATCCAAGGAATGATTTCGCTGATTTGGGCGTTCTGGAGTCCTGCAAAGTTGTTCGCCAAGGCGAACACCAGCCATTGTGGGACATCGGTGTTCAGCACGGTCGTTTCCAGACCTTCCGCATAGGCGATCGTGTTAAATGGGCTCCCCGGTAGTAGACTGTAGTTTTGCTGTGGCATGCTGTCTCCAAAACCGTGCATGCGTTCCGGCAGATGAAGGTTGGCGACCCCATGGAGTGAGAACGACCCGTTGATAGATGATGTGCTGCCTGGGTAGGCTCTCCAAGTGTCTGTAAGTTGTTAGCCTAGAGCGCGGTAACAAGAGTGGCAGGGGGAATCTCACATACGGGATGAGTGTATCGAGTGTTTTTCGATATCAATAAACATGCATCGCATCTGCCGAGCAAGTATTTCTGCCGGGTTTTCGAACCGAAGATTGGCAACTGCAGCAGCCTGACAGTCTGCGGCAATTGCGTCGACGTCAATTCCCCCAAACCTTGATAGAGGGCCTGGCGGCGGCGGCGACGAGAGGTCCAAGAACGGCTGGATGTCGGGGTGACTGGAAAGGCCAAGCCCTCCGACCAGTGCTGAGGTGCTGACTCCTGCGAGGAAACGGGGGCTTGCGACGTGTGGGAGAAATGCGTTGCGAAATTCCAAACCGACCCTGCTCTGCTCTGCCCTCGACTTGTCCCTTGTTTCCCAAAAGGCGAAGGCTCGGGAGCGGTGCGGAACTCCGTCGCCGAAAATCCTCGGCTCAAAGACATTGACCGGTGAGGTTGCCACCCAATGGCTCGTGTCGCCTTCATCGGGCGACTGAGCCCCGGCTCCTGTGAAGCTTGGGCCTGGAAGATCGGGTGCTGACATTGTGTTGCCCGCGCGCGTTGCCTCAAGACTCGCTTGGCCACCCAGCACTCTGCTACGAGGGCTTGGGTCAAGGTGCAGCCATGTCCCATCTGCAGATTGCAACTGGAAGGATACCGCCTCGGGCAAGGCGGCCTCTCTGCCTGAGTCTAGACACCAACAGTTGTCAGCGGGACAAGCGCCTGGTTGAAGACTTGGAATTTGCCGGATATTTGGGTACAAACCTGTCGGGTGGGATTGGGAACTAGGCCTAGCCGAGGTGTATAAACGCCGATTCCTATTGAGTTTGTTGGTCGAGATAGGGATATTGTTGACAAGAACCCTGGCGGTTCCATGCTGGGAGACGAGCGAGTCGTAGACGGTCACCACCCTTGCCCAATCGTCGCGCTTCAGGTGTTTACGAGGAGCATTCCACTCCTTCAGATGGTATTCGTATTGCGCAAGACTGCTACTGGATCAGCCCAAGCTCCCCCTAATACTGTGCGTGGTGGTTGAACTCACGTGGCGGTGAATTGGTGCTGCTCCCTCATCAGCTTGGCAAGCTCCTTCAGGGAGTTGCCGGCTGAGAGGGCCAGGATGACGGCTTTCTTTTCATTCCATTCGCGGCGGGGAGTGCGTTGCGACGACATGGCGGCGGCGGGCACATAGCATTTCCTGATGCTATGGCGAATGCGTAAACCATATCATATGGTCTTATTGCGCAACGGAGGGACTGGCTCGATGGGATTGCGTTTATGCCGCTACCGCTTGCCGACGATGGAATATCGCGTCTCCTAGTCGGATCTTGGAAACTGGAAGTCTTTATATCCGCGATCTGTCCAACCTTTTCATCTTCTCCCGCCCTCGGCTGCGCCTTTTCATCTTCTCCCGCCCTCTGCTGCACCTGTTCGCTTCCGCTCCTCCAGCCTGACCTACTTGCATAGCGGGGCTGTCAACCTCCCTGTTGATTCGTCGCGCCCCGTTGGCCAGCCTAAATCGCAAAAAGCCACATGCAATCATCCCGATTGGGTTTTTTCCTCATGGTTTTGTCCATATGCATGCTGACTTGACCATCCGCCTTTGGTTGGCGTCAGAATTCCTGTTTTGTCCACTGGGTTGCCCGCCCCAGCTGGGCAATATGCAGGGTTTTGTCGTACAGACACAGCAAAACTGCTTTGGCTACATGGTCGCCTGATTTTCAAGATTTTGTCCACCCTTCGCAGCGAACCGGACGCATTCACTGGAAGCCACCCAGCCGCCCAGCCAATGTGTGCGCGCGCGCGACACCGAATTTCCCCGCACCAGATAAATATTGACCTATTTTTTTTTTTTTTTTTTGGAGAAGCTCTTTTCAGGGCTAGCGTAACGTTCCGACAAAACCTGGTACGCAGCTTTGATGCCGGAGAAGCCTTCGCGAGACAGTGGCCCGGCCCTTGGGATTTGGCGACGTGGGAATAAGCATTCCGTCCCAACATGCCGCGGATACACGACTCGGCCCTGGCGGTAGGCATCAGCAAACTTTGTCAGGAAGCGACCCCACGGTGATTTACACGAGGCCCCTGAAAACGTCACAACCTCGTTGAAACAGAAAACACCGTTTGTCAAAACGCGCGGCGAGGCCCGCAGCTGGCCAAGGGCACTTCTTTCGTCCAAGCCCACCGAGCG